TTTTTTTTTTTTTTTTTTTTTTGTGATATCTTTCTTTGCTTTTTATTTTTCCTGTTGTTGTATGTTTTCAATTTTCAATTGAATGATTCAACCTTGCGATATGTATACTGTAGTTTATAATAACTTTGTACGAACCGGCGTTGGCGGGGGAAACGTAAGCGCACCATATGACTCACCCGCACACTTGGGCTACTGATGATAATAAAGAGCAATAAATAGTAAAGGCCTAATTGTTCATACACTCGTAGGTACATACATATTTATGTACATTAGAGTGGCTCAAAAATTCTTTTTCTCAGATAGGGTTTAGGGCACCTTCCAAATCTTTCCTCTTGCCGAAAGAGGTGCTGGTACCAAACCTTTAGTTTTTAAGTATCCATTTAGGGGATGTTCATGATGCCCATATTTTACTCTAGAAGTATTGCGTACATATATTAATTGGTTAAGTAACCTAAGAACAGAACATTTCAAATTTAAATTATCTATTAAAATATCACAAGCTTCAGTTGTCATGGCAACAGTAGCTTTTTATAAAAAATCGCAAATATTTCTGCCAGTTTCACATCGATCCAGTAGCGCATTTCAAGGTCATTGAGCACCCTGTATTGGTTGCAGTAGAAAACTCAAAGTTGGTATAGGTATCACAAATATCAAAAGGAAAACCCCATACAAAAATTGGACCACTCTAATGTACATACATACATACATATGTACATGTGTATGTATTTATGTCCATATTAATATTTTAAATAAATCACAGCAAGTTTCGTGCATAACAAATATAAATTTATCAGAGCCACATAACACACCTGATAAAGTGGATGAAAGTGATTGATACCAAGTTACACATAACTACTTAGAAAATAAATACAGTGAAACCTCTGCATAACGAACTTGTAAAGGTGTTCTGGCACGATATGTAAGTATTTGCATCTGTAATTGTGACTTTTTCAATATATATGTAATTGCGTATGTCTGTCAAAATCACAGTCTTTATTTAAGTATTTAAAAATACGTTCTTTGAAAACGAAATAAACTAAACTCAGATGATTCTATCTGTGTGTGAGATGAAAATAGAAACATTTATATTTCGTATGTACATGCATCTGGTTTGCACCGAAACAAATCTAATTTGCCTTTACACGATATGTTGGCATTTCCATATGTAAAAAGTGGCATGTATA